CACTCTCGAAAACCCCTTCTTTCCCACTCACTGTTTTATTCCATTGTATACTCGTGAATTCGCAGCAACCTTTCGCAATATAACTCGAACGAATATATTTTTCGACCCGCCGCCGAAATTTCCCTGTTTCCGGACGCGGCCGATCGATACGCGCGGTAAAAATGGGAGAGGGCGAAAAAAAGAGGAGGGAAGAGGAGAAAATAAACAACGAAGACGAAACCGTAACGAAAACCGTGTATCCGCAGTTTCGGTGTCGACGACGGTGTTCACCGCTTTTTATGTCCCCTCGTAAAATTTTGAATCCCGGGAAGAGGGAAGAGGGGCCGAGAGAAGGAGCTCCTCGTTTACCACGAGGCAACGCCGTGCGGACAAATTTAACGATTAAAATATCGTGGCTCGCTATTGTTTTTTTCTTCACTTGTCGTTCCCTTATTCAAACGTTCCTTGTTCGACGTCTTTATTACCAGTGATGGGCAAAAAATTTAATAGCTCAAGGAATAAATTTATCTCCATAATTTATTGTAAGACCAACTGTAACAGCTACGAGAATAAATGTTATTTCTTATATCAATAGAATTACTCGAAGTAACTTCGATTTTTAAATCTGCGATTCTCCAAGAAACGTTTGAGGAAACAAAGTTTTAGAACGCGCACTCGTAGAGCGAAAGCGTTCGAGCTTCTAATTCTTGGTCTCGAATGGCAAGTTTTGTGCTCCTCTCCGAAACGAAAAGGCACGATCGCGTATAATCCGTCGCGAGAGTTTCGCCCTCCTTCTCCCCCCCCCAACTGCATTACACTGTTTCGCAGTTTCCGCTCACGTACGCGGTGAGTGCACGCCGCGAACGGAAAATCTTGGGAACGGCGTCTTGGGAATCGAAGAGTCGCGGTGGGGAGCGAGAGGGATCCATCCGACGCTCGATTTAATTTCAACTTGGATCGCGATCCCGGGTTAAAGAACTCGCAGTAACGGCCTCCCCTCCTCTCGTTTTATCGCGGAACCACGTCGTCCTTCGTACCTCCTCCCCTCGTGAACGCGTACACGTGAGAAGAGCCAATCGAACGAGGCCGGCTGCTTTCGGGGGAGGGGGCATTTTCGCGCCTACACACCGAATAACACACCATAATAGGAGACACGGATCCAGTGTACGAGGAATCGTTGTTGGAACGAAACTTTTGATCAGTTCAAAGGATGGAGTTTTTTTCTTTGCGAGAGATACAAGTTTTTCGATATATAATTCCGACAGAAGAAATTTTTCATGAGAATTCTTGTCTGAATTGTTGTTGTTGCTTTTGTCATTTTATATATGGTATCAATTTTTAAATCGGTAATTATGATCGTGACTCGCAACGTGAGTTTATAATTTAGACGAGCAATAGCGTAGCTTAAGAGAGGAGCGCGGTTGTGGTATTTGGAACTTAGAACTCTGTGAATGTGTGCGTGCGTGCGTGCGTGGGTGCATGCGTGCGTCAAAAGCTTTGTTTGAATTGAGTGCGTATACGTGTGTGTGCGTCAGTGTGGCTGATCGTCTATGTCTACGGCTGAATCCTCTTAAGGGAGTGCAACGTGTACTTGAGATAAAGTTCTGGCAAGCGTAACTAGAATTTGAACGTGCATGCAGAATTTGGAGAATGGTTTTAAAAAAGAAATGGATATTATTGTAGTTTGTATATATAGATCTTATTTATATATAGTTTTTTCCATTTAATTATGCTGTCAATCTTATGAAAATTAAATTATCTTATGAATTTGCACATATTCGTGCTAGTTTTATATTTGGCTGTTTTATTAATAATTTCTGACTCATCTTCTATTCGTATTTTTTTTTTTTATAATTTTAGAATGTATAGATATTTTTTGAAAATTATTTGCTCCACCATGTACAAATTCAATTATACGAGGAAAAGAAGAATGATGTGGGAATTTCCTTGATAATTTACTTAATTCTTGGTATATTGTTTAATATTCTTGTTTAATATTCTATCGTATCATAAACTACTTACGTATAATATATCAAACTTTACAAGTATAAAGTACTTGTCACAACAATTAAGGAGCTCTTATAATGTACACGTATTGGGATCAAAGAGTTACCATAAACTCATTATAAATTATGTTATTACGTATTATGATGTAACTAACTCGAACCTAACAACTCTCTTAATTTACAATGATGAATTGAAAAGAAAACGTTATCGAATCAACATTATTATTTCTCAAATTTTTCCTTAAATATCACTGTTAAAATTAGAAAAATTAATTTGTTCGAGTTAAAATAATTACAATTACGATAATTATCTAATGAAAAAAAACATTCCACGGAATTGTAAGTTATGTTTCAAATATCAGACTCGATTTCCAATAGAAGATAGCAACAAATAAACCCACTATATCTCTTTGTAATTCAATCGCGATTCACGATTCCGATGACATATGCACATATTAGCAGGAAAAACATTATCGTCGGATGAAATCTTAATTATTCCTCAAATATCAATATTACGATGAAAAGAATCCATTTCCAAGATTGGAAGATGTACAACTTATATCTTATTTATCTCGAATATGAATCATTCGTTTTTCTTTGATCTCTCGTATCATATTTGCTAATGTATTTACTTTCGTAATACTATTATTCACATTTAGAGGAATAGAATCTATAAACTATAAATTGTTAGACATTTAACATCTTATAAATAATCCTCAGGATTTTTTCAACGATTAAACACTCGTCAATTTCCGGGTGTAAAAGGTGTAAAAGCGGTCTGCGCATCGTTCGGCGAAACAGCGAGCAAAGCGGACGTAAAAAGCGGCGCGGCGAAATGACAAAAGAACGGACGATGAAGAGGAAAGCGGAAAACACGACGCGACGCGACGACGTTGCCGGATCGTGCTTTTTAAACAGTTCGAGATTTCTCTTTCTGTCGAAAGAAACTCCTTTTTCCAAACGGTGAATGTAGACGCGCTTTTACGACGGGCACACGCACAAAGCTTGGCGCTTACAAACTAGTCATAAATGCGGCCATGGATCTGCCGCCCATTACCAAACAAATGTTCATCGGGAACAGAGAGACGAGTTACCGGCCATTATAGCGGTTCGTCGCGTTTCCTTTGAATTTGAAAACAATTTGCACCGAATACTAATCCTCTCCCCTCCACCCTCCACTTTATCCTCTCTTATTTCTCTCCGCTGACACGCCGGATATAAATCCCCCCCCGAACAACGATTATAACGATCCTGACCAATTGGGATGTAAGAGGAGCAAGAGTGCAAATTGCGGCTGGGAACGAGGGACGATGTCGATTTCGTTTTAATCGGGCCGAAACTTTTTTTCTTCACCATCGCGATTCGGGTTTTGAAGGGGTACGTTGGTTAATTTAACGAGAGGCTCATCCGATTTAAAGAGCTTTACCGCCTCTTTGCGAATTTTAAACGCGGTTCCCGTCCGTTCGAGCGGACGAAATTTTAGAATCCCAATCTCTGTTTATACCGAGATTTTTTCTATGATAAATGAATATCGAAGAAAGAAGAAGAGAGAGAAATTTCATTTCTAATTGCGTTCCCTATTGCTCGATAAAATATATATTTAGAAACGAAAATCGATACGCTTTAAGTGTTTTCGTAGTCTTTTTTTTTTTTAAGTCTCCTGATAAACCGTTATCTTCAATATTTGCAAAAACATCGCGATATATATATATATATACTCGCCTAAGCCCACTTTCTGATATTTTCTCTCGAACGTGTGCAGATCAAAATTATAAAAATTAAATTCAAGGGGCAAATTACGCTTCAATAGGGAACGCGATCTTCAACATTTCGGAGCGCAACAAGCAGACAGCAGCGCTCGTAAAATTTAATTTCACCATAGAAATGTTAATTCTCGTAAATATGGATATTTCGTGTTCGCGTATTTCACTTTCATACGCGAGAGTTATAACGTAAGAGAGTTAGATCATCACGAGATATTACGTCCCTTCGTTTATCGCGCCATTGACGGTTGGCTCGCTCGCTCCTCCCTCGGTTCGAGTCACTTTTCATCAAAGGTTATCGATATCTCAACTCCTCGTAAGTGTAGATATATACGTTCCCGCTCGTGCGTGTCCACTGGAAGAGAGCTTTCTCTTTGCTTTTCAACCGTTTCACCGTTATATCCAGAGTTTCCCTCGCGCAAATAGAAAATGGAACGAAATTGAAAATTGACCCCCCTCCGACTATTTCAACGTTGATCGCGATGAAAATCGAAGGGAGAGGATCACGATATCATTCACCAACGAAACGATTATAATCAATATCGAAAATGTTTACTCACTTCAATTTATTACCGATTATCACACTGTCTACTTCGTCGTATTCTTCCGTGTTAAACGATTTCACATCGTTAAAAGACGAAAATATTTCTTCAACGTTTACATTCGATCTTCCTAAAAGTATATTGTGCGTAATTTGAGTTATTTTGTTCATTTTTTCAAGTCGTTTTTCACACTTTCGAATATCGAATGTAAGTCACTGTGTGAAACTCACAGTGAAACTCATATTCAAGTATGCACGGTTATATATATCAGTTTTAAAAGATAAGAGATAAGATACCGCGAATTTTAACGAAATAGATAGATAAATTTAATTTTAAATAAGAAAGATATTTACAATTCAAAAGGAAATAACCAACCTTTATTTTTATTTAAATTCGCGCTTTCTACAGTTTATCGACAAACGATGATCAGATCAAGGAATGCAAAATATATACATAAAATAAAAAAAAATATATCGTAATATTTGAAATGAAAACTGAAACGCGAAGATATTTTCCGAACTGATAATCTCGTTGATCCAACTATTGTGTCACGTTGTAATCGTAATCGTTCAGTTCAGACGGGATTGTATTCTTTCTATCGAAAGAATAGAGCTCCTCGAGTCCATTTTACGAAAGCAATAATCCTTTCGTTCGTAGCGAATGTCTGGAACTGTGATTAAACTACATCTTCCATTTTCGTTCGTTTCCAGACTTACAACATGGATGCCCAAGTCGGGGAGTCGTCAGCATGCGCGACGGCATTACTCTGCGGGGTTAAAGCCAATTACGAGACTGTTGGCCTGGACTCCTCTGCACGCTTCGAGAACTGCTATTCCAGTTTTGATGCCCGTGTACCGTCCCTTATCAATTGGGCGCAGGAGCAGGGTAAATATTCGAACGTCAACAACTAATGCAAAGGATTACATAATCGATTCCTATCTCTCCCGATCAATCCGAACTTAATTGCTCGCGTCGATTCGTTGCCAGTTCATCCTTTTTGCTTCCTCTTTTTTCTTTTTTTTTTACTTTATTTTTTTCTTCTTTTTTGTTTACATTCTTCCCCCGCGTTTTTTCGACCTCTCGTTTTTATTTTATTTTACCACTTCGCTTCGTCGTTAATTTATCGTGAAATGATTATTGTTGGAAATATTAATTTTTGTTGGGTTTTTTTTTCTTTTCTTCATTTTCCATTCGTGTATAATCCTTGAGATATGTGTATCTTGAGAATGAATATTTATCAAGAAATAATTATTACCGATAAACAATAGATTTTATCATCGATTTTGTTCCGATATAAAATTTTCTTTATCCATTATATATATATAATTCTTTTTTTTTTAATATTAAACAAATAAATAAATACGAAAAAATTATATCCTTCGTTTTATTACAATTTGTATTGATAACAAATTAAAATTAATTAGAGAGATCTAGAAATCTCGAAGAAAAATTTTTCTTCTCCATCTACGAAAACGTATAAATATTTTTTTCTAAAATAAAGAATATATTCTCTATCTATGATTTATACTCTTGAAATAAATAATTGAATGTTATTCACGAAACGAGCACGATGCTCTAATTATTGTTTACGTTTGCAAAATTTCCACGCTGAAACTGCTCCATTTTCCAACCATTCCGCTTCACATTTCCCGTGCAAAATATATAAAAATTACGCGCGAAATTATATCGTTAATGCGATATACCGAGCCGCGACAATGTAATCGCGGCAGCGGCACGATCATAAGATCCGTACGTTATTTTTCCACGTGCCATTCCGTGTCGAATATCCCGGGACGAGAAGCGAATTTTCGAGCATAAATTCTAGCCGCTGTGCAATTCGGACCGCTCGTAGAACAGACTTCAGGTAACAATGAAACGAGCTCGAATTTGAACGTTACAA